CTACATTTACTTGTTTTCCTGTAGAAAGCAGACAGTATGTGTAGGTAAATACGATTCATTTCTAATCAAACAGACTGAAACTGTTTGCTAACAGGGGACTTACGCCCTTAGTCGTGTTATAGAGTAGAGCCAACAGCTGCACCTGCTGGACTACATCAAGGCTGTAACAGAAGAACCAGTGGTGAGCTCCAGCTCCAGTAAAACCAGTGAAAAGCACTTTATTTTGATGCCGCTCAGAGCTCTGCAGCTGTGTGGTCTCCAGTGAAAACTACCTGACAGGATGAAACCTTTGCAGTGATCACTGTTTCTAAAAACAAACGGACCTGAGCCATCGTCAGTCCTTCAGAGGCAGAAGAGAACCTCATTAAACCACTGAGATGGAGACAAAAACAGCCGCTCAAGCCTCGAGGATAATGTGTTTGTTAAACCGTGTTTCCCTGTGTTATGGGCATCGTTTTCAGCTCGCCACAATAAAGGTTCATCTTCAGTTTAATACCTCCATCATCCTGAAAGCCTGTATTTCCACGTCACGATGACATCACGAGGTCATGTGTCAGCAGCATGTTCCAGTAGTACCCAATCCAGGGCTCTAGACTAACTTGTTGCCATGGTTGCACTGGTGCGCCTAACTTTTTTTTATTAGGTGCACCAGCACCACAGTTAGGTGCACCCAAATGTTTCAACCGCGGTGCCCAACACTTTACACGTTCACTTTCTAAACATGACCGTCCATACAGACAATATTGATTTGTAAATGATTACCTATCAGTCTTGTCAACACAAAGTTCTTTATTTGGAGCTCATTTCTACAAAAAACATAAGTTACCGTATTTTTTGGATTTTAAGGCGCATTACGCGAGACAAATAGATAAGTCAGACTTTACTTGAAATCCGCTGCATAAGCATGTCTCTTATCAGGAGCCATTTTGGGCTCCTTATACACACAATACGGTAATATTGCATTGACGCACAGTACGTATCACTCCGCGAGGCTCCAGACCACGGTAGCCGTAATGCTCCGACAATCTATGCAGCCGTGCAGCTTCATAGGTTACCAAAGTCGTACTAAAACATTTGTGATAGTTTTTGAGCCACATGTACTACATGAAATCAGCTCGAGCTCAGTAAACACAACCAGAACTCATACATAAGGCGCACTTTTGAGAAAATTAAAGGATTTTAGGTGCGCCTTATAGTCCAAAAAACACGGTACTGATGAAGTTCTTGTGCTTAAACTGCTTCAGTGAGCTGAAATTTAAACTTAAAACATCTCAAGATATGTTAAATAAAAACAAAATCTGAGTTAAAAAAAGTCTCGGAGGCTTCAAACTGAACATCTGAACATCTTACTTGTGCATGGGAACCTGAGAGGTCCCGCCCCTGACTATGTCTGATTGGTTTAGATCACGATATCGACGAAATGTGTATCTATTGTTGACCACACAGAGACTTTCAGAGTTGCAGAGACTCTTTTTTGGGGTTTTTTGCTCAAACGGCTGGTCGATTTTTTTTAGTCGCACCTTTGAGAAATTAGGTCTCATTTGCGACCAAATGGGTTGCACTCTAGAGCCATGACATACTATGACAGTCAATTCTTTCCATTACAATCGAGTACCACCTGCAGTGGTACACAATCTGTTGATGTCACATTTCCAGATCACCTCAGGTCACTTTGGAACCCCGGCATAGCGGGCACTAAAAACGTACCTGGTACCAGGAGCTACCACTAATGGAAAACCCTGAAAACCATGGCGAACTTCCAGAGTAGGTGCTAATGAAAAAGAGTCTTTATGGTCTTAAAGACTGGAACCAGTTCAGCTCATGCAAGCATACACGTGTAGAAGAACCAGCAAAGCATTTAACTCTTTAACGTGCTGCAGGAATCAGTCCGGTCTGAGCCAGTTCTCACATGATGTCACTGGACTGGATTGGTCCATTCAAACAAACTGCTGCCCAATCAGGAGCGAGCACAGCAGAAGAGTCTGTTTGAATACACAAGACCTCAGTGTGTGTGTGTGGGTCCATTAGCAGCACTGATGCAGCTAAAGATAGACGAAGCTATTTCTGATCCAACACATCCATCTCTGTGAGCAGGAAATAGAAGAATATTCCAGCAGTGATGGAGGAGAGGAAACAGGAAGTATCAGAGAACACAGAGGGATGAATGTGCCTTTAAAATGATTAATACTCTTTAATAGGATGCCAACATTATAAACCAACAACGACTGTCAGGAGTTACTACAGAGGACGAACACAAAGAACAGAGGGAGAAAGCAAACATCAGCCCAGACGCTACATTCCTCTTCATGGCCTCCTACAGGCCTCCATCCTTAAGCACATTTGCTCCATCTGTTGCTCCAACAACACGAATGTTACTCACACTGGCTTCTCACGTTGATGAAACACAGTTTGTGCTGCATGTTTGGGCGGACTCCCTCACAGATCTGTGTTACCAGGATCATAAACCAGTCCACGTTGCTGGTTGTTCAGGCCCACGGTCAGAAACACGTGTTCATGTGTGACATGGTTCCTCTCCGAGCTGCAGTCAAACATCGACGCTTCTGTCACTCACAGAGTGTTTAGGCTTGAACCCAGTGACCAGCACCGGCCTGGATGTGTCTGTAAGGACGACACCACAGCACCGCCCAGTGTTTCCTGTTACAGCCGGTATCCTGTGCTGGGATAAAGCCTCTGTAACACATCCCAGGAGCCAACAAGAGTCAAATCAAGTGTTTTATGTATCAGTGTGAACGGCTGTGTTCAGAACAGGTGAGTTTCCCCACAGGTGAGTCTGGACAGCATTTGTAATGCATGAAAATATCACAGAGCTGGTGTGTGAAGAGCTGTTAGTCATAAAACTCACTGAGCTCTGTGTCACTCTGTCACTGACATCATTTCACACTTCTGTGATGAACAAAGTAAATGATAATTACACTGTGGTACACTACAGAGTAACGACATGACTCACATGCACTGTAACACGACATGTCTCAGACATGAACCTCCAATCACAGCTCTGATCCACACAGACTGAGACAAGTGTTCTCTGTGTTTCCACCAGCTCATTCACATCTCTTCATATTTATGATATGTGTCCACTAACGGTCTTCCTTCCTCCGCCTGACAGCACCTCTCCACCATGGAGCAGCTCAGGATCAGAAAATTTAAAACATCCCACGCTTTGTTGCATTCCTGCTTTCTCCTCCAACTGCTGCTGTTTGAGCTGAAATGCTCCTGACTGCTCCTGGGCCATCTGTCACGCCTGCACATCTGTCAACACCTGCACGTGTCACACCTGCACATCTGTCACACCTTGACTGACGCTGTCAGCTTCCCTGCCATGTCCACTGCCATCTGTCACATGCATCTGTCACACTCTCTGTCACACCTGCACGATCTGTCACACAACTGCACATCTGTCAACCTGCACGTCTGTCACACCTGCCACGTCTGTCACCCTGCACATCTGTCACACCTGCACGTCTGTCACCTGCACGTCTGTCACACCTGCACGTCTGTCACACCTGCACGTGTCACACTGCACCTGTCACACCTGCACGTCTGTCACACCTGCACATCTGTCACACCTGCACATCTGTCACACCTGCACATCTGTCACACCTGCACATCTGTCACGCCTGCACATCTGTCACACCTGTACACCCTTGGTGAATCATTGCTGTACGACCGATCACATGATCTCCTGCTGGGGAGGTTGGATGATGCCTCTAAGATTATTAGGACCCTCCACAGACGTGACCTCGTCGTCACAGTCGTACCCACACGTGTGGTTACTGCACACCTCTGAGACCAAGTTTCCACGCTAATGATCCACTCAGGTTCATCCTGTGATACAACAGGTGATCACCCTGAACCGTCCCGTGGCGCCAACAGTGTCTCTAACACTCGGTACTTTCCTTCAGTTTCCTGTAACGAGCGCGCCGCCGAGCGCCACAGGTCAGGGTGACAGTGCAGTTTAACACACGACCTGTTGCAGCCCGCCCCCACGTCCTGAACCCAGCTTCAGTTTGGAGGGAAACATGACCGTCTCCGTGACAACAAGCACATGTGAGCCTCGACATGTGACGCGCCGATTCCACATGTGCTCAGCATCCAGCGCACGGCCCTCCTGCTCACAGCTGGCTGCGGCTAGCATCAGCTAACATACGTGCTAATGTGGCTATGCTAACACACACACACACACACACACACACACACACACGGGGGCAGAAAGAGCGAGAGAGCGAGAGACAGTGGTGTTGAATGAAAACATGAAATCTGAACACACACAAACACACACACACAAAACACTGGCTTTGATGCTTCATGAGGACACACACGAGGACATGTATGTGTGTCCTCATAAACCGTGTGTGTGTGTGTGTGTTGTGGCGGATGCGTGCGGGCGGTCTGCTCTTACCTTGGTGGTGACAATGCAGAGGCAGTCCATATCCACACACACACACACACTCACACACACACATTTCCACACACACTCATACACTCATGCTCGCTCTCCCTCTCTCTCTCTCCTCGTTCTTCTGTCTATCCTCCCTCGCTCGCCCGCTCTCTCAGCTCCTCTATCCTCCGTCTGACAGCACTGAGCGAGAGAGAGAGAGAAGGGGGCGAGCGAGCAGTGCAGGAGAGAGCGAGAGATGAAGATGAGGAAGACTGGGGTGTGTGTGTGTGTGTGTGTGTGTGCGCACCTTGAGTCACTCGACAGAAGGAAGACATGAAGAGAGAGAGCGAGAGAGAGGGTGAGAGACACAGAGGAAGAGTGAGGGGAGGGGGTGGTGGGGGCTGGCTCCTGTTTGCCATGGTGTTATGCAGCTGTTGCCCCGGCAATGCTGCTGCAGCTGTTGCTAAGTAACAGCAACGGGTGTTTCTATGTGGATTATAAGTTTGTTTTGTTTTAGGTGTGTGAGTGTGTGTGTGTGTGTGTGTGTGTGTGTGTGTATTCGTACCTGTACAGGTGTGTGTGGTTGGTCCGTCGTCTGGTTTCACACACCGTCAGCTCGTAAAACTCCTGGATGTCTGCGCGCGCACACACACACACACACACACACACACACGTCTGAGTGTGTCACGTGCAGTTCCTCTGGTGTCCAGCAGAGGCAGCAGTGAGTCAGTCCTCATGTTAAACATGTTTACAGCTGGATACACAGATGTTTCAGTCTCTGTGGATAATTTAAAGTTCGCATCATTAGGGGCGTGGCCTCTTTGACTGACAGGTGGATGTTGATAGTAGTGACTGTAGCTGCTAGCTGTTCGCTAGCTTCACCTGAACTGAACCTCTGTACCGAGTTTGTGCTGTTGGAGCATTAATAACATGAAAAAGTTTAAATCTTTGACTTACGGAGCCAAAGTCATGTAAATGACAGAGAGGCGTCTGAATTTTGAGGAAAAAGATGGAAATGTTCAGATTTTAAAGTAAGACTATGAGAGAAAAAGACATGATGGACAAACAGGCTGTGATTGGCTCACAGGAACAACTAACCAGCAGCATTTCTTGGCTGTGATTGGACAGAATAGTATAAACAAACAAACAGAAGAAGAAAATGGGCCCATGATCAGCGCTCCCTGTGCAGCAGCGCCCCCTGGTGTGCCAGCCACACAGCGTATTCTGACACTCTAAAATCAGATTAAACCTGAATGCATCATCATGAACCCCCGCCTGTCCCACAGTTAAAGTTCTGCTCTGTTTCCATTAGTCTGGTCTGCTGGTTAGTGTTCAGGCTGAGTTAGTGCAACCTCATAGAGCCAATCAGATCGCTCAGAGACCCTGCAGGCTCGCATAAAGTGAAACAGTGCTTTAAAAACGGCTCTGCCATTAACCCATCACAGAAACATCATCGTCTGAACCTTCATCACAACTGCTGCATGAACACGTGAGCTCGCACCTGCAGCAGCCAATCAGAGCACAGAGTCCTGTGGTGACTCAGTAAACCCCGACTGTCTCAGCCAATCACTGCACTATAAACAGCACAGACTCACAGTCTGATGGAAACAGCATCATAACTGTGATTTTAAATAATCACGTTAATTATGAAACAGGATTTCATGATAAAACAACTCAAATCACAATATTCTACAAAAATATTTAGAAAAGATCAGAAAAAATCTCCTTCAGATGACTGAGAACCATAAAAACTGTCACAATTATAATAAATAAATAAATAAATAAAACTAGTGATACATTCAAAGAACATATTTCTGCGAAAACATCCCCAAAATATGAAATAAGCATCAGGAAAAATCTCATTAAAACGTTTTATTTTAACTAAAAATATGGATGAAGTGAATTATAAACTAAATGTTCTACAATTATTATAAATGATAAATATAATGAACACACACATCTGTGACTCGCTATAGGAGAACAAGCTCGTTATGTTGATGTTATGTTTCTAAGAATAAAATTACAGAAAACTGCAGACAAATAATTATTTCTGAAAAATCCAAACGCCTGAAACACGCTCTGAAAGTTTTCTAAAAAGCGTAATAATTACATTTCATTGTGAGGAAACAAACGTTGAATATTCAGATTTAGTGAGAGAACAGCTCATTACAGTAATCTAAAGTAATAACTAAATAATAATCATTCTAAAAGAAGTTAAATATGTCTTAAATTATAAACTGTCAGGAAACAAGAGTATTAAAATGTTAAATTTTAGAAAAAGTATTTATAAATATGCAGAAAGAGTCCTGGTATGTTAAATATATACACAGTAACACAAACCTGATAGGCCGACACAGAAACAGGTGATTACAGGTGAAACTCTCTGATGTGTCTGTATCCTCACCTGTAACCAGCTGAGTCAGTGACGTGATCATGTGACCTCTCTGAGCGTCTGTAATGAGCTCAGCCGATCATCAGGATCACTTTACTTAGAGCTGACGAAGCCCCGCCCCCTCCTGCTCTGATCCTGAAGCAGCGCCACCATCAGGTCACACTGAGAGTCACACCTGTGACATCTGTGTGTGTGTGTGTGTTCCTGTCTAGCTATCTTTGTGAGGACCAAAATCTGCATTGTGAGGAGACACGCACAACGGTCCTCGCAGGTTTGAAGACATTTAAAGGCATTTTTCAGGCTCAAAACGTGGTTTTAGTGTCAAGGTTACAATTAGGTTATGGTTAGGTTAGGGTCAGGCTTTTCACAGACAGGCAGTCACAAAGCGCTGTACACAAATATTAAAATAAACAATACAATCTGTCACAGTCTGGCGAGGGCAGACTGTAGGGGTTGACAAAAGGACCCAACATGCAGACTCCAAGGAACAGGAAGAAAACTTGAATGTTAACAAAAAGTGAGCCGTTTAATATGGCTGGTAACAAAGGGCAAGGCAACCTGAAACAAAATGAACACAAACCTAAACTGGGGAATCTAAACAGACAATAAGACACACCTAGACAAGGAACTTGGAAACATGGCGTGGACAACAGACGACCTGACAATCACACACTGGAAACAGAGGACTTAAATACACAGCAGGTGATTAGGGGGAGTGGGAACACACGGAGGAACAGCTGACTGACATGAGCCTAATGACAGGACAGGGGAAGTGAAACTAAATACAATGAACAAAGAACACACGACTCCTTCAAAATAAAACAGGAAACATGAGACAGACATGATAATGCAAACTTGATAACATGAAACACGAAGGGTGAGGGGACCTTAATGCAGGGGAAGAAAACACAAGGAGTCTAATAACCAAATGAACTCAAACTTAAAAGGCTGGGTCAACAGACCCAGGACCATGACAACAATCAACAGACATTATACACAATGTAAAAGATCAAATAATGTAAAGAATATAAAATACGTAGATCAACACAAGGCTTGTTTGAGCAGAAGAGTTTTTAACTGCTTTTTAAAAGAATCCACAGAGCAACTACAGTGTGTTGCTTATGAAATCCATGAAGTGCTGCAGAGAAAATTACATTTTATTTATGTAATGAACACATTTTGAAGAAGTATAACAAAAGCAAAGACACGCAGCTGAACTAAAGCGATCCAGCAAACAGAAACTGCTGTGAGCCGCCCTTATATCTCCTTTGGGCTTTTGGAGCCTTGACCTGACTTTAAAAAAAATAATTGGAAAAAAGCTCTATGCTGCTAAAAAATAGATGTTTGCAAAATTCTGCCTAAGTATGTATTTTACCTGGTTACTGCGTGTGGCGGGCGTGGTCTGCAGCGCCGCTGCAGGGGAGGCGGACGCACCTGAGCGGCAACCCGCAATCAGGCCTCGCTGCCTTAAAGTCTGTGCTGTTGTGTTGGTGTGTGTCGGGCTGTGCGCTGCAAAGCTACAGCCGGCTGTGTGCACACAGCAGCCGTGTGTGTAAAGTGGTCAATAAAGAGATGCTGAAAAGCGCGTTCATGCAAACATCGTCGGGTCTGCTGTGGTATGTTTACAATAAGACTTATGGTCCTGAAGCTCTGCGCACAGTGAAGTCACTTTATCTCTACAGGACTGTAAGCTGTCGTCTGTGAGGCGTGAGCGTGTTTGTTTGAACACAGTTCAGAGCTGCTGACATAATGTGGATCAGAAGATCCATAACTGGCCCACCTGGGGCTGAAAGTCTCCATAAATGCAGGCGTTTCGGCGGCTACACCGGCTTCTGCGATGTGACGCTTATTTTGAGCGATGAAAAAAATAATAAGATATAATTGTATTTTTATATTTCAATATCACAATAATCTAACAATTTAGAGCTGCAAGTTAAAAAAGAACTGACATAAACAAATTACACTTCAGCTAAATACTTCTCATTTATTTTCCCAAACCACGCGGAGCCGCAGTGTGAGGACTAAAGAGCCGCATCCTGCTCCGGAGCCGCAGGCTGCCGACCCCCGGGCTAGGGAAACCATTATGTCAATGAAAGTCCTCACTAAGATAGCTGAACGAGAATGTGTGTGTATTACTCTGTGTTCCTGTGTGTTACTGTGACAGTGTGTTCCTGTGTGTGTGTGTGTGTGTGTGTGTGTGTGTGTTCCTGTGTGTGTGTGTTTGTGTGTGTGTGTTCCTGTGTGTGTGTGTGTTTGTGTTTGTGTGTGTGTGTTCCTGTGTGTGTGTGTGTGTGTGTGTTCCTGTGTGTGTGTGTGTTCCTGTGTGTGTGTGTGTGTGTGTGTGTGTTCCTGTGTGTGTGTCTGTGTGTGTTCCTGTGTGTGTGTCTGTGTGTGTTCCTGTGTGTGTTTGTGTGTGTGTGTGTGTTCCTGTGTGTTACTGTGACAGTGTGTGTGTGTTGTTACCCAGCAGGGCCTGGAACAGGTCACTCTGGAAGATGTTGAGCAGCTTCTCTGCTCGACCTTTGACCCCGTCAGCAGCTCCAGCCTGACAGGCCTCCATCACCTGCAGAGCGCGCTCAGTATCTGAGGAGACAGCACAGCACACGCTTTACTGGACTCTACTGGACTCTACTGTGGTCCAAACCCTGTTGTGAGTCATGTATATGGAACTCCAGGACTGCCATAATCAATTAATTAAATACACCATTAAATAATTAATTAAAATTGGAATTAATTAATTAAATAAATAGTTATGACACATGTAATTAATTAATTATTGACACATGTAATTAATTATTGACACATTTAATTAATTATTTATGTATTTAATTAATTATTGACACATGTAATTAATTATTTATGTATTTAATTAATTATTGACACATGTAATTAATTATTTATGTATTTAATTAATTATTGACACATGTAATTAATTATTTATGTATGTAATTAATTATTGACACATGTAATTAATTATTTATGTATTTCACATTTTAATTAATTATTGACACATGTAATTAATTATTGACTCATTTAATTAATTATTGACACATTTAATTAATTATTGACACATGTAATTAATTAATTATTGACACATTTAATTAATTATTTAATGATATATTTATTTATTTCATTTTGGCAGTCCTGACGCCTGGCTCTCATCATGAAATAATTTTATCTGTCAGCCTCACCCATCAAACTCAGGGGGCGGGGTTAACGCTGATCGAGTCAAAACCATTGCTTTGGCCTGGTGGCCATTGTTTCTAGCACACAACAACCGGCATGTGGAAGCTAACAGAACTGAGCTTTGAAAAACCCTGTTTGTGTGTTACCAAATACCGTTTTAATATTTTTTAGCAGAGAATGTAGTGGTTTAATCTTCATGTGTCTGGTCGGTTTGTCAAGATACAGCCTCTTTGCAAAAGTGTTTCGATGATTTCGGAGATGTCTGCCCAGTCTCACGGCAAAGCGTGGGATAGACCCGCTCGCCTCGCAAGCAATCCCACCGACAAAGCGCAGGCCCTGGTACACAGCTGTAGTAACCCCCGCTGACTTCTTTTACTGAGGTTATATTTATCGGTGTTTTATTTCCTGATGTTCTTATGTGTCCTACGTGTTTCAGTCTGAATTATAACTAACATTAAAAACATGTTTAAGGAGGAGAGAGAGCAAATAAATCTGTTTAACATCTGATCATGGTTTTTGTTCAGTAATCAGCGTGACCTGTGTATAAACGCATAAAAGAGATAACGTTGGTGTTTCTGTCATGTAGTAACTGCTGGCTTTAACTGTACAAAGGTTGTTCGACACTATGAAACACATACAGACTTCATGATGTTCAGCTAATATTTTATTGTGAATATTAATCATGCTGACCTCGCTCTGTACACCACGCAGCGAGGTCAGCATGTCCACGATATCCTCAGCTCCATGAGTTAACACAAAGTTTCCCAGCTGACTATCTAACTGCCAACTATTCCAGAGACGTGAAAATATACAGCATAAAGAAAAGTGTAAGAGACTCAGCAGCAGATTAGAATAACAGTTATACATTTAATGAATCACCAAATGAATCCAAGAAACGAGCAAACCTGAGTTTGTGTTCCCTCAGCTGCAGACTCGCTGCTGTTTAAATGTTTGAAAAGGAAGATTAGATATAAAAAACGTCAAACATAGACTCAGTCTGCCTTCACATTTGATATGAGACCAGCACGTATAGTGGCTGTGTCCTGTTTTAAGATCATACATGTAAAATTGTTGTCTGACCTCCGTCGATCCAGCCGCTCAGAGTCTGTGGTTACCATGGTTACTGCATAATCAGCTATAATGTTAACAGCTGGCACTGAGGAAACCTACCGGCAGCATGGGTGTTTATGTTTTTCATTGCAAAAGAACCGTCTGAATGGTTAACTGAAGTTAACTTGGATAAATTATAGTTAAGGAGTATCACAGATAACGCCCACGTGAGCTGTGCGACTGTTCACCACTACACTGAAATCAGCTATTAGTGAAATACACGTGCTATATCATAAACTATGATATAAATAGGGAGGTCCTATTAACATGTTTAGTTTTGAAGGACACCTTCCTGCCTTTAGTCTCCTTCATGAGCAGTATTCGTTTTCTTCTAACATCCAGAAGTCTGCACCATGTGTTTCATAGTTTGTAACAAGCCTTTGACAGGTAAACATAACATGACCGAAAAAGCAAAAAATGGTTCATTTATGTTTGATGTGTGTTTATTCCTCCCTAAATATCGTCGGTGAAGTTCGCCATGCACGTCAGATTTTCCTGCGCATTTTTATACCTCTGCCAACAGAGAGAGAAAAAAATCACATTCTAACAGACAGCTGGTGCTTAGAATACAGTTGAATAACTATTAAAAACAGATGATATTTAGATGATAGTTCAGTCTAACACATGTGCCAGTGAACCATTAAACGTCTGTGAAACTGTGCAGTTATGAAACGTAACTTTAACCTCAGCCAAACCGATTTGCTCAGTTGTAAATAAAACAGCGAAGTAAACGTGACCTGACAGACAGAACCTGAGTGAATGAAGTCCAGCGTTTAACCACTGAGAGCTAAAACTCAGCTGAGGTTTGAAAGCTGTGTGCTGGTGATTGGACATCAGCCGCTGATGAAGCTGTTCGCCTATAAAGTGCTCTGTAAGGAAACGAGCTCCAGCAGCTCTGCGCTCGGGGAAAACACTATATTTACTTATCTTGTGCAGAAAAATGCGCTGACATTGCTTTATATCGAGCACCGGCTGCCCAGTTAAACTGTGACTATCACCAGGTAACTAGGCGTGTTTCTTGAATTAGCAGCAGGTGTTAAACAGCTGACAGATGAGGAGGAGGATGCATGCAGGTAAACTGAGGGTCTGTTGAGCTGATCGCTGGTTTCGTGAGAAAAATGTCAGCTCGTTCTTTATGTTACAGAAGCACAGAGACACAAGACCAGGCGGAAAGAGACGATCGTTCGGTGAAAATGAGAATCTGCGAATGCAACATGTGGAACACGGAGAGTGGAAAATGTAAACAAACCGGTTAACCCCTGGGTGCACTCTGCATGCTAACTGTTAGCAGAGCTAGTGAAATCTCTGAAAACATCTGAGCACTTTTGCAAACATGTTCTATGTTGACAACCTGACCAGACATGTGAAGATTACTGCGCGACATCCGCTGGTTTCCTCTTTCTGGCGCAAAGTGGGCGATAAACAAACCTCCACCACTTGCTAATGTTACTGAATCTGTGGAAGCTCCACCATAGCCACCACACGAAGTAACGAGTAACGAGCCTCTCTAAATCCCAGTAACAACTAACGCGTTCCTGATTTTGGCTTAATAACTAGTTACCGTGCTCGTTACCACAATAATAACGTAGTTACTGTAACGCGTTACTTAATAACACGGTAGTCCCAACACTGCAGCCTGGTCACACTTTGAAGGTGTAAAGAAGCTCAAAGACGTCTCCAGGAAACATGTGGAAGAGCACTTTAACAGTCGGGATACCAGGGGCACGAGGACACTCCACCTGTACACATGAGGAGCCCCGCCCCCACACTGCACACCTGTGTGTTTTCACAGGTCGGACCTCTCACACTACCAGCATCAACAGCAGCTGTGTGACATCTGGAAACTCTGAGCACAAATGAAGTGTGAAAGAAATATATTTAAGAACAGGTGAGATGGAAATGAAGGAATTCCTCGTTATTATCAAACTGTCTGAATAAATCATTACATGTTCAGGAAACATCATCAAAGAAATGAAATAGAACAATCTTAACGTGTTTGCTGTAATAACAAACCTCTGCCAGAGATCAGCTCTCACAGCTCACCATGAAAGGAACCTGAACCAACACTGCTACATCCATCGGCTCCATCACCTCGTGGGGGTGGGGGGCTGTCCTGCTGCCCATTGCTGTTGGTGTTGGGGGTATGTGGGTTCCCCTGGGGTAGGTTTCTTGTGCGGTTTGGCGTGGGGGCTGTGATCCTGACCTGGATGGGGCTTTTGTGGCTCTTGGGTGGTGTTCCCTTGGTTACCGGCCTGGCAGCCTGCCCCTGGGTTCTTGGGGTGCTCCACCTCCAGGCTGGGGTCCTGGTTGATGTGTCGCTGAGGTTGTGGGTGGGTGCATCCAGGCGCAGGGGGCCTTTGGTGCATTGGTGGAACCTTCAGCTGGTGGGGAGGTTGTTACCATCCTTTGCAGGGCGTCTCTGCTCTTGAGGAGTCCACTCCGCAGGTGGGGGAGGAGCTCAGCCTGGGTGTCTTTCTTCTTATGTAGTCTGGGAGTTGAGTGAAGTTTGGGGTGGGTGTAGTTTTTCCTCTGTGGTGGGGTCAGGTGGACCTCTGTGGAAGGGGCAGCCCCTCCAGGGAGGGAGTACTTTCCCACCCCCCAATCCTTTCCTCCCCATCTGTCTCCCTCCTCCCGCTCCATCACACCCCCACACATGCAGGGCCTCGGGGTACAGGTGTGTCACTGAGGTGCAGGGAGGCATTCCCCCTCTGGCCCCTCCACCTGTGCCTCAGTTTTATTCCACAGCAGAGACGTCCACATGACTCATGCAGGGCCTTGGGAGGAGGCGCTGCATCTGGAGGAGGGACGGCCACACCTGCCTGATCCATGAAGCTCAGATCAGCTGTGTCTGCTGTGTGTGAACATCTGTCCACATGTGCAGAGCGCTGTGATGGGTAGGTGTTGTTCCTGCTCTGCCCCTCACAGATGGAGCAGCTGTTGGAGTCTCTCTCACACCGACCTGCAGCAGGGACGCTTCCAGGAAAAGCCTCCAGCTCCAGGACCTGATCCCCGAGTGTCTGTCAGAGGAAAGGAGGAACTCTACTTCTGACTGACTACCAAAATAAAAGTTTAGAGTCAGGTGGAGCTCCCTGTGTCCTCCACACTGTCTGAGGTGTCTGTGAGGTCATCATGAGACACACCCACCTCCATCAGCTGTGCACAATGCAGGTCCACTAAGACTTAGAGAACAGCTTCCACACCCACCCACTCAGTCATGTGTGGACCCCATCAGCATCAAACCTGAGAGAACCTCAGATGGAGGAGGGGTGGAGTCAGAAACCAGCTGCAGCTGCTCCATCTGTGATAAGCTGAGCAGACTGAGCTCTGTACACAGAGCTCTGTATGAGCAGGTCATGTGACAGCAGGGCTGCCTCTCACCTGTGAGCCCGTCACCTGCTCATGCAGACTGAGATTTAATCGTGTGTGTCGGAGTCCGTCGGGTCATGAGGACAGCAGACCTCCCCCTGCCTCCTCAGCTCCTCTGAGGGGTTTACAAACCGTAACCCAGAGTGATGACCCGCCTCCTCCCAGCAGGACACACCTGACGCTCCTCCAACAGGTGGTGTCCTCAGCCTCCTCAGAGCTCCGTCCCTGAGGATCCTGTCAGCTCCTGCACCCACAGAAACCATGAAACCTGCTTTGGCCCTGAGCTCTGATCAGCTGGTCCGTCCGTCCGTCCGTCAGCCTCAAATAAAGTTTCACTTTGAATCCAGCAGCTCGTGTCAGGAGCTCAGGTCACATGATGCCCAGGCTTCCTGTATGACCCACTCTGAGGTCAGACCAGGAAAACCAGTCGAAACAAGATGAACCCCAGTGTAACCATGGTGACTGACAGAGGTTAAAGGTCACGCAGACAGTAGATTTTTATATATACCAGTGAGGAGAACAGGAAGTGAAAGACAAGAAGAAGTAGAAGAAGAAGAGGCTGAGGACGAACCACAGGAGTGAAACCACACACACACACACACACACACACACACACACACACACACATACACACACACACCTAAAACAAAACAAACAAACAAACAAACAAACAAACAAACAAACAAACAGAACGCTGATGTGGAAAAAGCGTCTCACCTTCTCTCTTCAGCGGCATGTCGTCTCTCTGATCCTCACTAATCCTCTTTGGAGATTTTACACTCGCAGTGCACTCTGGGTAACAGAGTCCTAATCCCTCTTTACTGAGGCTCCGCCCATCTCCAGTTCACGGGATTGGACGATGCTGTCCGTCTCAGTGAGAGTCACCCTGGTTTAAATTGAGCTGATGAAGGAAAACATTTAAATGAATATAATTAAGTGTTGAGACGTGTGGGTCAAGCTCAGAGTCCATGACAGACACAGACACAGACGCATCACTGAGGCATCGATCCTTCAGCTGAGAAAACTCTACACTGACACACACGCCTGAGATCAGATTTATATGACAGATCAGAGTAAATATTAAGGATGAAGTCAAAACTGATGAAAGCAAAACGTCTCAGATTAGATATGGGTCAGGTGACACTTTGAATTCTTCGAGGTGTGAATATAGATGATCATTAAAGTGTCACGTCTGTTATCACACGTTCTGAAAATAAGAATTACGTCATTATTGCTGAGCTCTGAGCTGCTTTATACTGACAAATAAAATGAAATAAATATCCATCCATCCATCCATTCACTTCCGCTTATCCTTTTCAGGGTCGCGGGGGGCGCTGGAGCCTATCCCAGCTGTCATAGGGCGAAAGGCGGGGTACACCCTGGACAGGTCGCCAGTCTGTCGCAGGGCTAACACACAGGGACAGACAACCATTCACTCGCACATTCACACATAGTGGCAATTTGGATTATCCAATTAACCTATCCCCACAAGCTGCATGTCTTTGGACATAAATACACTCTTTATTTTTATTTGAAGGGTTAAAATGAAGCAGGATGTTTCAGCATGTCAGTCTAACAGAGATCAGACTGAAGTGTGTTAAACAGAATAGTGTTGTTACTCTGTAACTGTAACAGTTAATTAAAAGAGCATAATAATGAATTTCCTCAATCATTGATGCACTTTATGAATAGCTGGAGCCACCTGGTGGACAAATACTGCAACTGCACTGTGCATGTTCCCCATTGCTGCACAGTACATGCCTCAGCAAATACCTTCTTTATTAGCCTTGTCTCATGCTTTCTTGTGCCAACACACTGTTGTTGCCGACCAGAGATGGGCAGTAACGCGTTATTTGTAACGCGTTACTGTAATCCGATTACTTTTTTCAAGTAACGAGTAAAGTAAGGGATTACTATTGCAAAAATGGTAATTAGATTACCTTTACTTTCCCGTAGGAACGCTGCGTTACTAAAACCGTGAATCTTTTGTGAGAATGTCTCACGACAGTGACGTAAGCGAGTGCACCGTTTGTGACAACAGTTACAATCGCATACAAACTTTAGAGCTAGGGGTGAGCCAGAAAGCACCTGCCTGACTAGCTAACTAATATTAGCTTAGCATGCTAACCAACAATGCTACTTGTGAATAAAGTTACTGTTAATGCACCAAAATGCCTGTAACTTTCAGGGTACATGCTAGTACTACTTATAAGAAAATACAATTACCAGCTGTGTGCAGATCAACATGGATCATATATCGAGTGCAGAGAGAGTATGAGTGTGCAGCGTTTAAAGCGTGGAAGTACTGACCTTACTTTGAGTTTGGTTCCATAAAAAGTGACAAAAACATTAGTGTCCGCTGTGCGTGGGAAGAAAACTTCTTTTTACAGCGAAAAAACCCCTAAACTTCCGAGCAAGCACCGAGTAGCTACGAGGTGATGGGAAACTCACAGAGAAACTCGCGGATTCTTCCACTGACCGCGGCACACCTACACCAGGGTAACCCTCCAACTGCCCCACTCCTGCTTTACAGGTGAAAATAGAGCAACAGGACCTCTGAGTCTTTGACTTTATTTTCTGCTGTGTTTTACTTGCATCTATTTGAAAGACTGAGTGTAAACACAAAAAATATTTTATTTTATGTGCTGGAATGTGCAGAAAATAGGTTTAAATGTTAAACTAATTTCTTCCAGTCAGAGAAAGTTGCAGATAATTAAATGTTTGCTTGATGCATAAAGTTAAAAGATTAAAACTGATAAAACAAGTTTTAAAAAGAGACTTTTCCATTTGATTACATTTTGTATGATGGATTATGTAGAAAAAGTAGAATTGGGCTGAAAGATCTATTTATCACCTGTTCAGGTTGTAAATCGGGTTTTTAAAAAGTAACTAAGTAACTAAGTAATTAATTACTTTTGAAAATAAGTAATCAGTAAAGTAACGGGATTACTTTTTTGGGGAGGTAATCAGTAATTAGTTACTGATTACTTTTTTCAAGTAACTTGACCAACACTGTTGACGACAGTGTGCTGTCATCTTTGTACCAGAATAAAGAGGCAACCCAGAAGAGCAAGCCCAGTGCCGTCCTTTCTACACGGGCATGTAACATCACATCCACCAGAGACAGCTACATAACGCGTTACAGTAATCACATTACATTTTTCAGTAATGCAGTAACGTTCACAGCAATGTGTTACTGCACTAAATTCAGTAATCACATTACAGTTACAGTTACGTTGTTACTTGAGTTACAAAGGTTCTTCAGTTATCAGCGCGAACAGTAGCGCGTTTGCGGCTTAAATTTCTCTATCTAGAAATATATGTTAAAAAACTAAAATGATTTTCATTTTTTTGTAGTTTATTGCACTTTTCTGCAATTTATGTAATTACTATGCATTTAATGCATAATAGAATAATAGAAGAGTCGCACAGTGCTTGGTGTAGCCCCATAGTTCTTGTAGTGAAGAAAGATGGGTCTGTACGGTTCTGTGTGGACCACTGCAAGGTGAATGAGGTGTCACAGTTTGATGCGTACCCGATGCCCCGGGTCTACGAACTCCTGGACCGGTTGGGCACTGCTCATTTCTTTACGACACTGGATTTGACCAAGGGCTACTGGCAGAATCCCTGCAGAGTCTAAGGAAAAAACTTACCTTCTCGCGGTTGACTATCACTCTAGATTCGTTGAGATTGCTTTGTTAAATAGAACAAAATCAAACGATATCATTACCCACCTGAAATCTTTCTTTGCCCGTCATGGCATCCCAGAGGTCCTCATGTCTGATAATGGGCCACAGTATCCAGGTCAAACCTTTGCAGACTTCGCAGCGGCGTACGGGTTTAAACACAAGCAGGCCCAAGTTTCCGTAAAGTAATGGAGAAGCAGGGAGAACTGAATGAAACTCTCCTGCACCTCAGCGCTGAGCTCCACATCACGCCCTGTGAAAGCACAGATATAAATCTGCTGCAGTGAGAAGAACTTTACCCAACACAAGTGTAGAAGTAGACATTTGACTTTACCTACAACCTGTTAACAACAAAGCTCTCATTGCCTCTGCTGTTGATGTCATGTAGGACTAATCATACTTCACATCAGCCATGCACACGTCAGAGGATCTCCAGGCTTTCAGTAATAAAGCCAAGCAGATGATGTGAACATAGCAATAGTAAAACATGCATCATAATCAGCTGTATGTGTCGACTATGTGGCACCTCAGTCTTGTTGGCATGAAGAAAAGTTGTGTAACATGTAGCATAAGGGCTGCAAAGACATCATGTAGACAGCAGTCGTCTGTTAGTCGTAACGTATCTCCTGTTAAAGAGTTAAATGTGCGTTCTCCATCTCTGTCCTCTCACAGCTCGCCGTACACCAACTCCAGCTGTGGTAACCATGGCTGTGCCCATCAACACGCTGAAGCTGAGACGCCACCCGTCACTATGGCGACTCCAATAGGGTTACCTGTCAGCTGTGGACGCATGAAAGGAAAACAGCAGAAACACAGACATGTTTACTGGAACATTTCCTATTGACAGCTTTATGGAAAAGTGGGTTTTAACACTTTTCTATGTTTTATTTTGTTTATTTATGGATTTATTGTGAAAGGAATTTCAAAGTTTTAATTTGACCTTTCCCCTGTTTTTCATACAGACTGGAGACGAATGGATGGTGCTTTCTTTGTTTGTCTAAAGATAATGAATAAAACTCTACACACATCTTAAACCACCCTCCTTTCTATATATTTTGTTATATAAATGGAAAGTATATAAGACACAAACTGAGCTTATATGATACTAAGGACCCTGGAGGTCAGTCCACCTTTATAATTCAGCACAGCCTGGAGTCTTGGTCTTTTCTTGGATGTTGGTTCCCTTTGTTTCCATCCTCTGTTAAGATGTTTCAGTAATGTTGAGGTCTGGGGAGGCCAATCCATGGCTGACGTCCTGTGATGCTGCATTAGCAGTTTGTTCATAGTGAAAAATGAAGCCACTGCCAATCAGACATTTGCACAGTGGATCAACTTCTGATGGTACTGTCCTGAATTCCACACCTATAATATGTTTGCATGTACTGATGAATATGTGCAGCTGATTTTCAGTCCAGTTCCTGTGTGACAGACGCCAGTCTTTCTGCCTGTGTCCTTCCTTAACAATAGAGCCATCCTTCCACTGAGACTGTTTCTGATGAGGCTTCACTGAGCAGTAGATGGATCCCTCAGCTCATCTAATCGTCCTATTTCTAACACATGACTGTCAGAAACTGTTAATCTGCTGCAGCTCTTTAACTCCTCCACTTCTTTTTTGTAATCTCTTAGTTTCCTCATCTTTTAAGGTGACACTGCACACCAGATCCAAAGTCAACATGCTGTTATATGATGGAGTTGAACCTGTAATGGAGTTTGATTTAAACCAATCAAAGCAATTAAGTGAATGATGATGAGCAAAGAAATGATGGCGGAGCCGCATTCTGCTTGGCCTGTAGATACCTGTCGGCTGCCTCCGGAGTCCCACAGGCTAACCAAGCCCGATAGGCCTCCTTCTTCAGCCTGGTGGCTCCCTTCACCTCTACACGGAGCAGGTGTAGGTGGCGCTGTCAGACAGGTGGAAGTTGGTCAGGCTCAGTCTGAGGTCTCCAGTTTCCAGAGCGTCAGTCTTCATGGATGTTCGACCGCTGTAACGCTGGTTTGGATCTTTCGGTTCGTCTCCTTGAAGCTGGTGGACGGTTGGAGGACTGAGGTCGGAGCGACTCCACACCACTGTGGGGCCGTCCAGTTCA